CCCCAAAACCCCAAAACCCCAAAACCCCTTCATACTTAAAATCTTTGAATCGATAAAATAAATAGTTTTTAAAAACAATTTAATATTCTTCTGTCAAATATTATTAATAAGTTAATTCAACAGCCTTATCATTTCTCTTCTCCTTGTAATACAGCTCCATCATACATAGCCTTGATCTCATTGAAGAAATACTGTTTGGCCTCGTTTCTCTTAAGCTTGAAGGTGGGAGTAAGCAAGTCGTTTTCCGGCTTGAACTCAGTTGATGTCAAGTAGATCTTCAGGGGAATCTCAAATCCGAAGAGCTATAAATAATTGATATATTAGGGATAATATTCTTACTTGTGATTCTCTTGCAATTCTCTTTACATCCTCTAGGATTAGTTTGTTAAGGTCTGGTCTTCTCACCAATTCAGCAATTGGATCTGTGATATTATTGGATTAAGCCCATTTATTGACTACTAATTAATCTGGGTAGATCACTGCGACCAAATTGTTCTATAGTGAGTCTCCATATACAAATATCTGCTAGATATAGGCACTCTAAACTAATTTATTCTCTATCTTTTCTGGGATTACATACTCACCCTGAGATAGTTTGAATATGTTCTTCTTTCTGTCTATAATTCGGATTGTACCGTTAGGTCTGAACATTCCAATATCACCAGTGTGAACCCATCCATCTTCATCAAAAGTTTCCTTGTTCGCCTGTGGATTGCTGAAGTAACCTACGAAATTATTGGGACCTTTATAGCACACCTCACCTCTAGGGTAGTTAACTCCGTTCTCGTCAACATCAGTCGAGAAATACTGCATTTCTGGAACATCTACAAGTTTAAAATCACAGGCCGGGAACGGAGCTCCTACATGGCCTGCCTAGGGGTCTTTGATCCAAGTTATGCAAGCTGGTGCAGCGCACTCAGTTTAACCGTAGCCTTCAACTATTGGACAACAGAAGGCAATCTTTAAGAAATTTAAAACATCCTTTGAAATTGGGGCTGAACCTGTAATCAACTATCTTACTCTACCACCTAGAATGTCCTTGAATTTTTAGAAGACAATCCTGTCATAAACAGCATGAGTATATTGAGCACTCTTTTCCAAATTTGAAAGTTTTACTGAGATCGCATAGTCGCATAATGTTCTTTTCATTCCAGTAATATCTTTTAAACTGGCTTGCATCAAGTCATAAAATCTGTTGAAAAGTCTGGGAACACTGATCATTACAGTTGGTTTTAGTACGGCAAGATCTTCTCTTAGCTTGAAGACGTCACCCTGATAGAAGCCATATTAGAGTCTATAGCTCATGCTGGCAATCATCTAAAATCTTTCAAAGATATGCGCAAGTGGAAGGTAGGATATGTAGACATCAGTGTCTAATAAAGAAAATTAGCCATCGAACTTTGTCAACCCGTCAACATTAGCAATTAAGCTTTTATGATTTAACATTGCTCCTTTAGGAGCTCCTGTAGTACCAGAAGTGTAGCATACTGTATATATAGTGTTTTAACTTGGCTCCTCATATTAGACATCAGTGAATTTCTGACCCTCTTCAATTACAGTATCATATTGAATAAGAGTCAAGCCAGCCTCTGCTACATCATGAGCTAGCTATTCTGTCTATTCATCAATGTTAATCAAGTGAGTTAAGTGTTGGAGTAAGCCAGATTTCTTTAGCTCAAGTAAACCTTAGATTTTATCAGCTGATAATACAATTGTCTATACCTTGGTTTGACTCAAAATATATTGAATTGAATCTCTGCCTAGGGTATCATACAAGGTGACAACCGTTATAGATGTTAGCGAGCAGGCAAAGTCAGTCTCAAGCCATTCCTCTCTATTCTTTGCGTAGAGTGCAAGGAATTTGAACTCTCCGTCATAATCGGACTGAATTCTGGGGCAAAGGTTATGGTGTAGCAGATAGTTTGCGATTGCCTAAGTTCTTTGATACACCTCTGAAAATGTTCTCCATTCATAGTCACCATAAGCTATAAATAATAACAAATATAATGAGTATCTTACCAATTGTCCCATCCTCATTTTTTGTTCTCTTTCTTGTGCCAGTGTAGGGTTTATTAGGATATTTGGTAGCATTTGATCTAGAAAACTTATTTTATTTGTTTGAATAGGTTAATCTTACTTAAAGATTTCTGCGACAGTCTTCATGCCTTAGAAAGTTTCGTTAAGCTAAGCATCATCGGGGATGAGAGCGTTTCTGAGGTATCTGGTTTAACCAGGTTTTTACTCCCCAATGTACTTGCCCATAATAAGCTGTTAGTTTCCCATAGTCAATTAAGTTTTTAAAATATAAGATACGCTTTAAACTCAAATCTATTGTCCCTATATTATATGAATTTACGAATTCTTGCAATATCTGGTCTTAGGGGTTTTGGGGTTTTGGGGTTTTGGGG